AGTATATCGATTTTGCATCGATATAAGAATATCTTTTAAGCGTTACCGCAACTTATCTCGTATTACAAGTATCGTCACGATAAACATCGCTGCATTTGCATTTTGCTTACTAACGAGCGTTTCTTCGACCTTGCACCATTTTGTTCGACGAGAATTTTTATCTCCGATAAAACGCTAAGACCAACGATAGCGGGAGAATTGCACCCGCGGCTCCGTTTACCACGTACTTACATCAACAGCTGCGTGTGAAAAATTCAAAAATCGCTCATCCCGCATATAAAAACCAGTCGGTAGCACGCAATGATAAAGGATGAGGTAGCACGAAAACGAACGATTTTCGATTACAATCACGCGATGAGTTTTCGAAAGTGAAATAAAAGACGAAGCGAAATATAGGACCATCGCGCAGTAGAAAAGGAGAAATGCCATGCAATTTTTATTTTATACGCGATGGAATTTTCCTCGAAGAGAATGTCACTTTCTCGACGTGATTGATATGATACGTATTGACAGTTGTATTTGTATAAAAATATGTAATTTGCCCATATTTCCAACTCACATAAATTATGCATTTCAAAGCTCTAAAATAATACGATCGATTCAGAAAAAATAGAAGCAATTTCAAAATGCCATGCGCACTTGAATTTTATCTGATAAGATTTATCTCGCAGAAATTTCATATTTAATCGATATACTTTCTCTCCCTCTTTCTTAACAATAGATTCTCATATAAACTTGATTTGATCTGGGGGGGGGGGGAAAGATTAATCTCGATGAAAATTGAAAGATTGCGAATAAGATCCAAAAGAAGAGAAAGTGTTTTCTCTAAATTTATTAACAAATCACTTCAATACAAAATGTGTAATAAATCAAACATTAGATTCTACACACATTTCCCCTCTGAATACTTTTCTACTTTTATTATATTTGTATTCTTAATTCTTTGCATTAAACTTATGTCTCTCTATTTATAAAAAGAAATTTTAAAAAAGTATTTTTGAAACTATCCGTTTACCTATCATAACGCGCAAATAAAAATTGTGCGCCCCTCGAATAAACAAAAGTCTTAAAGAAAGAAATAATCAATGACGCTCGATGTCGGAATCAAAGTACGCGATAATAAGTCATCCATCGTCGTATATAATAATCCGTATTTGCTAGTAAGCGGGAACAAAAACGCGACAGATCGATGAGATGTTTAATGATTCAGCATAAATTTTCTTGTTCGAGAGCGCGATATAATGTGTGGTTTCGGGAGGGGGCAAAGGGGACTTACCAAGTAATCTAGATGAATCGTATCTATAATAGCAAAATGTCCCGCGGTCATTTCCGCACGCAGGAGGCATAGGGGAGGGCACGATGGCGACTGGTCATGAAAGAAAAAAAAAGGTAGACGGCATCACTAACGCAATAGAAACGGAGAGTCGAAACAGTTATATGGAAACGGCAGTTTAGTCAGGGGTTGACCTGAATTCAGGTGGGGTGAATCAATATCCTGCCTGCCTGCCTAGCTGGTTGGCCGTGTACTCTGTTCGCTTCGCAGTTACCGTAGCAACCGTAGCCTCCTTCCTTTATTAAAATATGACCCACGTCGTTTTCTCCGTACCATTATATCGCGCGCATACACAGTTACGATCTCCCCCATATCAGGGAAGGGGGACAGGATTATCGCATTTGGAGAACGTGGAATTCCGATCGGCCGGAGTTACTCTACGGACTGGCTTGGCCCGATCGACCTGTCCGATGGTGCGAACCAAGGTGTAATGACCTTCGTGAGTGCAAGGATGCGACCTTGATACGGGGTCCCGCGAGGTTCGACGAACCCGATTGGCTGGAGTCACGCGAGCCTTAGACATTGTCCTAGAGTAACGCTCTCATTGAATCCGTCGATCTTTGTCGAAAATTGTGTTTATGAATATTAATTTGTCTATCGATGAAAGAGAAATACGCTCGTATTTTTTTACTTGTATTTTTACAATCGTTTTTTATGTTCATGCATATATGCAGGCTCTCAATCAAGAGACGATTGTGACATTGAAATATTTTATAATGATGAATACCCGACATTTTCTCATTTTTTAAAAAAAAGATATTAAGCAAGACTTTTGATCATACAATTGTTTGAGGAGACAAAAGATAAAAGCTACCGTGAATAACAGAGGGTAAATTCAATGCAGATATGACAGTTAATAAAATATTAATGAATTGATTTATTAATTAATTTTATTGTAATTATATGGAATTGTTAAAGAAAATAATCAAATATTTAATAGATATCGTAAAGTTTAATCGAAATTTTATATGTTAAGTAAATAATTTATAACTTTATCTTTATTATCAATTTGATCAATAGAAAATTTTGCAGTCATTTAATTACACGACTTTGCTTTATTTGCATTCTTTCCCGACGAGATGAATGAGACATCATCATTTTTTTTTGTTTTTGATGCAGACAACCTTTAACTTTTAAACGACTGGGTAAAAACGGAGCTCAACAGTCGTCGCTACATTAACACTGGCTTTGTTCACGCGACGATTAAATGCCGCTTCATCGAACTTCATTGCGTTTTCGTCGGCGATCGCCAGGCCGGGCATATCTGGCCGCGCCGATGAACCGAATAAACATCCAGGTCAACACACGTGACAGCCTCGAGAGATCGTTTGGTCTTGACGAGGCCGCGGTTATACATACTCTAAATCCGCTACGAGGCGTAGATCTATTTATACCGCGGTAACGAGCTCTTGTATGCGGGGTTGCGATCCTGCGGAACGGCGCTCGCGGAATTTTGTTTCCACGAGAATTCACATTGTTCATCGGGGAAGGGAGATGTTCGGATTTATACAGTCGAATAGCACACGTGACGGAATAACGCCAAACGACTTGCTTTACCGTGTCATCTGTTTAGAACGAGAGATATACATCCGGATACAATCGGAATAATACATTTTACGTTATAATGTTTTACAAAGTTACAGACATCTTTTATGAAAACGTTTTTAAGTTACAAAAGAGACACGAATTTATTAATTTTTTTCCAGATACAATATATTTTTTTATAGAATAGTTTTTCGCATAGTATTTTCATTTTTTTATTTTTAGTTTAAAACAATTCTTTTTATTACTCAGGATCGATAAAATATAAAGTTCGTTATCTGCATTCGTGACTGATTCACAGCTTCGGATACGTATGAGGGGGGGGGGGGATATATTACGTATGATAAGCGGAGCAGCGGACATATTACATCTGATAAGCTAATTCGAAATGCATTCGAACATACTATTTGATTCGAAAAGCCCCACATGCTCTAATCTGATTTTATCAGTCTTATGACCGAATGAAAAAGAGGAGGTTCATAAATGACAGATCGAAAATTGAGGTCGATAGGTCAGATAGGGATAGCGAATGACAAAGATCGATAGCTTCGAGTTCAGTAGCATAAGGCTCTCCGTAGCCCTTCTCTCTTTCCACTACTTTCAGCTGTTAATTAATCTTTATCCCTATATCGTCTCCGACGAATATCTCGATTATCAAAGAGGGCGGCGAACGAAAAAAAGGTTAACTGTGACGAATTATTTTGGAGACATGTCCGAGAAAAGATGTAAAAGTGACAAGGACACGTGGTTTTAATTAATCTTACGTCAGACGCAACGCAACGTTCTAACATGATATATTAAAGTAAGAGGATCCTAAACTTGATTCCCTTCGTATTTTATACAGATCGTGCCGCTTCTACTGCTAATGATGGATTCGTTGAGTGAACTGGAGACAAGAATTCTCATAACAAAATGTCGAGTATCTAATGGCTTTTGTGAGTTATTGAAAGTAGTAAAGTGCTTTTCACAAACTAAGCCTCAGACAGGAAAAGGGAAGGGGAGAAGACAAATTTTGATAAGGAAACTTTATTCCCCGTTTAATTTCAAGTAAACTTTAGATTAACAATATTTTAATTTGTTAGTTTCCAAGTTAATAATAAATATTAAAAGTTGTGATACATAATAAGCTGCCTCGAGACAATTTTCTTAAGAAAAAAATTGATTTGGTATTTATTAAGTACCGTACGACATTTAACAGCTGATTCCTTTCAGAAATGGAAAAAAGATTACATTTGTTACTTTATTTTTAAATCTATTTAAAATATACTCTTTTGAATAAATTTGTTATTCTCGATATAATAATATAAAAATATAAAAATATAATAGATAATATTTTTATTGACTTTTCAATATAGTTCTCAGCATAAAATTGCTATTTTTTAGATATCTTTCAAAAATTAAAATTTGACACCGAATCTGAATTTTTTATTATATAATGGAATTCATTATTATTATATCATCTCTCCCTCACATGATTTAACAATATAAATCTAAACCATGTTCGCTCGACGGCTATTAAACTTTCGTCAAGTCAAGATCCGTTATATGCTAACTCGCGTAGAAGTTTGGAGTTGGCAACGAGAAAGTTATATGACTTACACGATTATACGAGCCTGTACGTTAAATACATGGATAATTTGAATCATCGGCCAAGCGACAGGTCGATTTTTCAGTTTACAAATTTCGTAGCAGGTACGCGGATATTGTCGCGACATAATCTAGCTATGCGCGAATATTAAGTTCGCAGACATTTTTTTCCTCCTAATCCGATAAGCGCGACAAAATATATGCAGTTAATTTCTTATCTTTTCGCTACATTTCACGTTTTGTCCTGATAATAATGTCAAGCGATATTTTTAAAAAGCACAAAAATGAACAAAATGTTTGGCAAAGGATCTTGAAAGATATTTACAGAAAAAAGAATCGAGAATGCGCACGTGTTACGACTTGAAGAAAATCTTGGCTAATATCCTCCTTAATATTTAAATTCAAGAGTTTATGCTTTTAACGCTGCAATAAAACGATAAATAGGGGAGAAAGTAACACACGAATTAGACGAATTAAAATAAGATAGCTCACAAAAATTGAATAGTCAAACATTACGTGCGAAGAAACGCGCACTTACCCGTCTGCACGAGCTTAAGCGTGACGCCATTGTGTTGCTTGAGCGGCTCGTTGAGGCTCGGCTGCGTAAGGTCCTTGAAGGGATGATTGGCGGCCTCTTCGGAGCCGGAGGCACGATTATTTTGCATAGTCCCGGCGTGCTGTTCCTTACTCCGTCGTTCTTCTTTCTTGTCGACGTTGCCGCCGCCGTTACGCACAGTTCGCCTCCTGCTGGCTGTCTGACCAGTCTCCCGCTTTCTCTCCTTCTTACGCTTACGAACGTCGTCCGACGCGACGACGATTCGTTGTTGCTGTTGCGGCTGATAATATCGTTGCTGGTTTGCCACCTCCTGATAACCGTTGTTTATTGCTGCGTCGTTGACAGTCAATGACACGGATTCCCGAATCGGATTCTCATAGATACGCAGGAGCTCGTCCGCCGGATAGAAGACGTACATGCCCAGAAATCGTCGCCGCTAGCGCGATTATCGTTGCTGCCGTTGTCGTTGACGTGGCCGCGATCGTAGACGACGCCGTCGCGGATTCCGTGGTCCCTGCTGCTACACCCACTGCTGCTGCTGCCGCCGCACTTCTCGGATCCGCGCGAGCCAACATCGCTGACCAACGATACATCCTGGGTCCTGCGTGCGGGTTCGGTATCGGCGCCGGTCGCCGTCAGGAGACGCATGATTTTTCTCTTCTATCCGAGAGCGCGATCGAGCGTCGCTCGCTACCCTGCGACGTATCGCGAGCGCGACGCGACGCTTATCTCTTTATCGTTGTCCCTTTGCCACATTGACGCGTCGTCGGTGCACTAGAAACGGCCAAGAATAATCGATTTTAATTATCATATATATATATATATCGATTATTATCTCCGATCGAGCGAATAAAAATCAGAATATTCTTTTCGTATCGAACAAGACACAAACTTTAGAAAAAGTTGCCGATAGGCTTTTTTTCCCTCATTCTCTTTTATCCATAAATTATTTATTTATTATTCCAAAGAAATAGATTATAAATTTAATGAGATATATAAAATAAAAAATTTCTTGTGCTAAATTATTTTGCAGCGTTTAAAAAATGTATCATTGAAATGTGTATCGATTAAAAATATTTGTGTAATAATAACAAAGAAGTAATTTATAAATTTATAAATTTTTTCTCCGGATATATCAACTAAATTGATTATGCATGATAGATTCTTACGATGTATTTTGGCGGTTGGTCCTGACGGGCTTGGATAAAATCTAAAGGGCTGGATTTATGTCAGTAATTCCCGATCCCTGTTGGACTGAAACAGAAGTATTTGTAATGAGAAATTAATTTAATATATATATTCTCTTTTATATAACTATGTTGGTCTTAATTGTGGCTTTTATTTAGAGCAAAATGACTGGTATAATTTTTCAGAATTAAGAAAATTCTTTTCTTCTTTTAATTTCGTGTCACATTATATTAGGAAATAATAATATATTATATAATTATATATTATGATGCTTTTTTTAAATTTTATACTATATTGAAAAATTTTGAAATACATACTTTTGCTTTTTCAGTAAAATTTTCATAAATTTGAGTTAAATTTTAGATGAGATAAATAAATCGTCGATGTAGCAACGAAGATGACGATTAAGTCTGCTAGCTTTTTCCGAAAATTTCGAACGCGTTGAGGTATTTAATTCGAAGAGTATAAATATTTTTCACTGTTTTGACGGACAGAAATAGGCCTTGAAAATATTTAATATCTATTCCAATACTTCCGCTTCAAGCCGAGCGCTATGTTACACGTGGCGTATAAATCGTCGGTGCGACATTCGCCGGAGATATCTATGGATCGTATCAACGTATGTTAGAGTTTGCGAGATGTGCTAAAAGCAGTAGTAACAGAGTACAACTGTGAAAGGTAACGCGACACGCATATATAAGTAGAATCGTTTATCTCGTGCAATCGCTGTTACGACCCATGAAGATACTTTTATAAATCCTTTTCCGCTACGTGGAAAGACCGTGTTGCGTGAATCCTTGCGATATACACACACACACACACACACACACGCACGCACGCACGCACATGTGCTTCTATGTGGGCGTGCGTGTCTAAACTATTCGCGTGCGATTCACGGATTATTTGCTCGTTGTATAAATCGCACGGAAGTTTACATATACTTTTCAACGTGGGAACCGTTGCACGTGTCCCGTAAAAGTAACATATCAATCAATCGTGATAACACTCGGAAATCCACGCCAGCCGATAGTCACGTACCGGAATAACTTGGTTAGGTTGGTGGAAATATATAGGCAATGTGCTTAACATGTTATGGACGAATCGCGTAAAGCTATGCGTTTCAAGACCTATTATCCCATCACGTTTTGTGGCGAAATATTTGTAATATTGAAAACCTTAAATCGTTGTTACCTCTATTTCAATTGTTGTAATTAGATTAAAACATAATGTAATATCCTTTCTTTACAGTGTTTATCAAGTTATTTAATAGTCATATCATTTAACTCTATTTTTTTTTTCGAGATTGATATTCTAAATCGAAAATCAAATGACTATTAGGGTAAAATGTTGAATTCAATTTTCATTAGAGGAAAATTGAAGTTAAATTAAAAATATGTGTGTATGCGAGGGACAAAGGAATACCGTAGTATTCAAGCAATTCATATAAAAAATTTAGCTCGACAACACGCTCTCTCATTTTATCGAGCAAATATATCTAAAGCTTGTGTGTATTTTGATTCAGTATCGATCATCAATGCGGACAGGGAGGTAGCAATCAAGCTCGTGCTTTTCCCTGGTAAACGAATGGGAAGGTAATATATATATAGTATATACACGTGTGTGAAAGGCTAGATAATTACAATTTCGTTATAATGGACGGCCTCGCTAATGACACTTTAAAATCACTCTTGGCGCTGTGTAAATTAATATATCAACGTTCTTTTAAGGGCTTGCCGAGCACAGCGGTAACGGTAATCATATTTTTGTGTCATAATGCACCACTATCCGCGTTTAAGCGCTCTCGCAGACTAAATCGCCTTTTTTTTTCGACCGTTAAAAGCGTGGAAATCCCGTTACGCAATGGAATTATATCTTTCCCGTTGCACACATTCTGTTCAAATTGCTGAAACGTTAAAGTGTCCTCCCTCTCGGAAGAAGTTAATCTTTGTTAACTCTAAGAAATAAGCCAGTGGAATATTGATTCAAGTAAAAATAAAATTTTAATATAAAATAGTTTTTGTGCACAATTAAAACGTCACTTTTTATTTAAAAAATTTTATTAAAGAAGAAACAAATGAAGATAATTAGAAAAAGTAGCAAATTAAAAAAAATTATTTAGAAAAAATTGTTTTATTTTTTGTTTATGACAAAATCATGAAATTATATTATAAAAGACTTTCGTTCCTTGTATTTTTTTGTTCGTTGCGACAAGAGGAAAGACATGACTCGGGGGAAAAAAATATAGCGCTGCAGAATTGATAATTTTCTATTTAATATATTTATGTAAAGTACGATATTATAAAAAGCTTTGCGGGAGAGAGATAGGAGATTGTTCAGACCTCTCATATTCTCATTAGGATGTATACGGGACGTGTGTTGATCTCTCGTTTACGGGACAGGATGTTTTATTTTAATCTGCATATACGTGCGGAAAATTGCATTTAGCTGATGATGAATCGCGTGGCATTTGTGCCGATATTAAAATTCGCGCGGCACGCTCAGTTCTTTTCATGTCGACGGCACGCGATATAAGATAATCCTGAAATATAATTATGTCGCGCGATCGAAGGTACGTTCCCGGCAAAATGCCGAAGCGGGCCCGGGAAACGCGAGGACCGGGGGGGGGG